AAAACAACCATTTTATACCATTTTTTAATATTTTTATGTATCCTTAAATGAATATATACATTTAATATTATAAATTTTAAATAAATAAAAAACCAATCATTTAAATATAATATAAAAAAATTATCTCTAAATTATTTTTCTATTATAATTATCCAAGTCATATCAAGAAAAGGATGTGAAGTTAATAATACTAACTACTTCCAATCCCAAATTGACAAAGCCTAAAAAAAGAAAGCAAAAAACTTGAGTAATCTCTTTTACAATCTAAGTTTTATCATGATGTCCTTTACGGTCATAAATAATTATTTGACAATATTATTATTAAATGGATAAGATATAAATTTTTGATCAATAAGAAATTAGAGTGCAAAACTAAGATTAATTATAACTTTTAGAAATAAATCAAGAACCATACATGATTTTGAATAATATAATTTTAAAATATTCTTGAAAGTTTTTAGCAATTATCTACGTAAAAATGAAATCTCCTTCATAACAGTTTAATTTTTCCAAATAACCTGATATTACAAACTACCATATCCTTCACCCATCCATGCTTCATATGCCTAAAGAAAAAAAATTAATTATAAATATTTAAAAAAGGGCACAAGAAGATTAAAATGACCAAATGCTAAAAAGTTAAAATATTAGCCATGCTCATCATGCCTACTCACTCACAACGAATATTAGCTGTGCTCACCATGCTTAGGCTGCTAAAAGAAACTTGTCCTCCAAAAACACTTGCAAATTCCTTAACTTCAAAAACCAACAGCTTCTTTATCAAATCAGAGAAGCAATGCCAACATGATCAACTCAGAAAGTGAATTTATGTGATCTTTCTCCCAAAGAACTCCCTTGGCTATTTCTTCTAAGAAATATGAAGCATATTAAAGAAGAACCTTTTGATTGGTAGTTCTGTCAATCTTCACAATGTGAAGCTTTGTTCTCTCCTTGTCTCAATGTATCATTTGGCTAAATAGCATTTGTAGAAATTCTAGCAAAACTTTAAATCTGTTTAGAGAGCCTACAGAAATTGAAAGGAAAAGAAGGAGGCAAAAACACATTAATATATAATGAATGCAAAAAAAAAAAAAAAAAAAAA